CCAGGACCCTTCAGTCCACAGGTTGATACTCTATCCACTTAGCCAATCCGGCTAGGTCATATAGAAAAGTTTTTATGATATTTCATTTTTTATTATAGTACTAAATGGAAAGGTAAACAAAACAAAATAGTCAAAAGGCATTACACCCCATATACTTTAGAAATAACTTCACAATAAAGCAAATTGTCAGTGCGTTCACAATACAAACTGTGAAATGGGGAAAAATGTCTGCAAAGTATATTATCTGATAAGTACTTAATATCTATAATATATAAAGACCTTTTACAAGACAACATGAAAAAAGAAGTAACACAATTTAAAAAATGTCCAGCCCTAATCGGTTTGGCTCAGTGGATAGAGGTTTGGCCTGCGGACTGAAAGGTCCCAGGTTCAATTCCAGTCAAGGGCATGTACCTTGGTTGTGGGCATATCACCAGCAGGGGTTATGCAGGAGGCAGCCGATCCATGTTTCTCTCTAAGAAACATAGTCAATGAACTTTACCATCACTCTTAAAAATACTGATTTGCATATATCTTCCTAGAAATAACAAAGAAACTAAAATAATTAAGAAATGAGACTACAGAAGAATAAGTTTGACATACCAGAGAAACCACCAAGTAACAACAACAACAACAAAAGCCCAGCAATGTTACATCCTCAAAAGCTAAAGATCCCAAATATATAAGGAACTCATACATCTTAACACCAAAAAGACAGTATGATTGAAAAATGGGCAAAGGATCTGAATATAGATGTGCAATAGACATATTAAATGATGTTCAACTCATTCATCATCAGAGAAATGCAAATTGACACCACCATGAAATACTAACGAACACCTAACAGGATGCCAACGACATGTATTACCAATGAAGTGGAGAAATGAGAACATTCATACACTGTCAGCAAAATTATAAAAACACTGGTGCAGCCACTAACAAAACACAATGGAGGGTTTTCCAATATTTACAAACAAGTACCAGGTAACACAATGGTTCCATATCCGGCGATTTATACAGAGAACACAAATTCACAAAGTTATACCCACCCATGGTCAGGGCACACACAAAAAAATCAATTAATGCCCAGCTGAAGTTTGTATGCCTCTCTTACTCTCCCTTCCTCCCTGAAATCAACTAAATCTTAAAAAATCAAAAAATAAAAGAAAATGGAGTGTGAGTTTTGATAGAGGGTTTCCCATTTTCAATCCAGTTTATACTATGGCCAGAAGACATGGTAGAATGTTAGAATATTCCAGAAAATAATTTTCTAAAATATTATTTTAGAAAATAATACGCAGGAGGCAGCTGATCCATGTTTCTCTCTAAGAAACATAGTCAATGAACTTTACCATCACTCTTAAAAATAGTACCTGATAGTACCTTAATTACTGTAGACAACATGTAAAGTGTGCAAACTCTGAGTTCCTAATTAATATACGTCACAAAGTTTTCAACACCCAAGGTCCCCCAATTTGTTCCCATTTAAAAAAACATATTTCTTAATTGTTTTCAGAGGGGAAGGGAGAGGAAGAGAGAGATAGAAACATCAATGATAGAGAACCATTGATAGAATGTCTCCTGCACGCCCCCTACTGGGGAGTGAATCACCAACCCGGGCATTGGCCTTGACCAGAATCAAAGGTGGGACCTTTCAGTCTGCAGGCCGGTGATCTATCCAATGCGCCAAACAGCTAGTGCCCAATTTCTTCCTTGAGAGCAAGAATCTAGCATAGAAAGCAGAAGATGTTAAAATAACCCTCAGAGATGTTAAAATAATAAAGGAAACAAAACCCTGTGGAGGAGTAGGAACTCATGAAGGAAGTCATCCTTACCCACGGACACCAAGTTGTTGTAGTTCTCCAACATCACATCCAGGTACAATTTCTGCTGAGCTGGGTCCAGGCATTCCCATTCCTCCTGAGAGAAATCTATGGCCACATCCCTGAAGGTCACCAGTTCCTGAAAGAAAAAACAGGATTACCAAGAGGTCACCAGATGAGTTCATAATGTCACCCAACATGAAAACAGTGTTAAAAGAGGTTTGGGTCTAGGGGAGTATCCTGAATCACCCAATAAGATCACTTTGCCCCAGTAACATTCTCTGATATGTTTTCTGACACTGACACATGTCCACAAATTCACGGTACAGATTTTACTTTACAAGAAATAAACTTTAAAATTAAGGCATAGCCCTAGCCAGTTTGGCTCAGTGGATAGAGTGTCAACCTGTGGACCAAAGAGTCCCAGGTTCGAATCCAGTCAAGGGCACATGCCTGGAGTGCAGGCTGGATCCCCAGTAGGGGTTGTGAAGGAGGCAGCCAATCAATGATTCTCTCTCTCTTCATTGATGTCTCTGTCTCTGTCTCTCTCTCTCTCCCTTCCTCTCTGAAATCAACAAAAATATATTTCAAGAAATAAATACATTAAATAAAATTTAGGCATGGAAACAGGCATATGGATTTCTGAGTGCTGCATTTACATTGTTCAGAGTCAGTGGTATATATTTTTCAGCTGGCAATGTCACTCTGGTTGGAAGTATACGGACTTCTCAAGTGTGAAGCAGACCACAACAAAATGTACTTCTGAAAAGATACAGATTCTGCCGAAACCGGTTTGGCTCAGTGGATAGAGCGTCGGCCTGCGGACTAAGGGGTCCCGGGTTCGATTCCGGTCAAGGGCATGTACCTGAGTTGTGGGCGCATCCCCAGTGGGAGATGTGCAGGAGGCAGCTGATCGGTGTTTCTCTCTCATCGATGTTTCTGACTCTATCTCTCTCCTTTCCTCTCTGTAAAAAATCAATAAAATATATTTAAAAAAAAAAAAGATACAGATTCTGATCCAGGTTCTCAGATGGGGCCTGTGTTTCCACATGTGTCATAAGCTCATTTTTTACCTGTGATGCCAATGTTTCCTCATCATGCGCCATACTTCTGAATACACAGAAAAATAAAACACAAGGAAAAATTCATACAGAATTTGAACTAAATAGGTTTGCTGCTGGAATACAGTTCTCATAGAATGGGACACATAGGAACTACCATTCCAGTTGGAAATTTACTATGAGTAATCTTAGAACAAGATTATTCTGCCTGGTCCAGCTAGTGTCGCTCAGTGGTTGAGTACTGACCCATGCACCAAAAGGTCACTCCTGGTCTGGACACACAACCAGGATTTGGGCTCAATCCCCAGTGTGGGGTGTGCAGGAAGCAGCTGATCAATGATTCTCTCTGCTCAATGATGCTTCTATCTGTCTCTCCCTCTCCTTTCCATTCTGAAATCAATAAAACATATTTTTAAAAAGAGAGAGGGAAATATAGAAACTGCTGACACTGATTATCATAAGAAAAAAGGAAAGAAATAAGGAAAGGAAAATGACCTGGAAAAACAAGAACATCAGAAGTAGAGAAATATGGAGAGGAAGGAGCCCTAGAGAGATAAAGGGGAGCTGAGTGGAAGAGGGGTTCTGGTGAACAGAAATGGGGGTAACAAAGGGGGAGGTACTTCAGATAGAGACAGGTTCAGAAGAGAAGAATTAGGGGGAGCGAGTGCAGGGATATAAAGGGGGGTTTAGGGATGACAGAGCAGAGGGAGAAGCAGCACTGAGAGTCAGCCAGTTGTGGGTAACAGGACAGGCTATAACACAGCAGCAGAGGGGGCACAGGGGTGGGAAGAGAAAGAGAAACATATCAACAGAAGTTCAAGAAAAAGCAAACACAGCCTCTGACATAGGACACATCTTTTACCTGAGAAGCAGCCATTTGTTTCCGGGCTGTGATAGGGGTCTGGGATGTTTCCTCAGGTGACAAAATGTTGAGGAGTCACAGAAAGTGCCTTCAAAGGTGTTGACCCAGGCCCTTAATCAGCTCCCCTCACAGTCACAGTCAGAAGGACCTGGAAATGAGGAAAAGGCCACCCACTCCTGTCCTTTGTCACAGGAGAAAGTCAGAAACAATGAGCTCCTACATGGAGACCACATCTTAAGGTGTTTTATTTTGTCTTCCTGTGTCTGTCCTTCCAAAGACTACCACAAACTCCGACAGCAATGAGAGCATGTGCTGTTCCGCTGTATCCCCAAACCCCTTACCTCCCCTGAAAAAGCCTGCACTGGGGCCCATGACATACCATCTTTAACTAGTTCCCTCCTGGGGCCTGAGAAGTCCCCCCAGAGCTGTTTTCAGTAGCGCTGGGTATCAGACATCAGACCCAGCAGCCCTGAGACCTCTGGGTAGTGGGAGGGGGTGAAGCAGGAACTTGTACACGCGCAGGTTTCCTAGGCAGATTTCCTTCCTCTTGTCCAAGGAAATTACAGAGAATAGATCTTCATGCTAAAGGCTTTGGGGAAAGTTAGCTACTGAAATATGCTCATCAAATGAGTTCACCATGAATAGATGGGCTCTGAGGGAACCAAGTTCCAGTTCAATCCAGTCCATCCTTCAATATTTTCAGAGAATGGACAAGAGGGACTTAGGGGAACAGATACTTTGTGGCTCACAGACACTAATTCAACAAATCACATGAAGGGAAGGAAAGAGGTGCTAAACACTGGACCAACTCACACAACTAGTGCCTGACTATTGAGATCATTGACATCCTGCTCTTTACGGTTTCATTCAATGGAGAGAGTGTCAGCCTGCAGAGTGAAGGATCTCTCTCAGGTTCAATTCCGGTCAAGGGCACATGCATGGGTTTCAGGCTCAATCCCCAGTAGGGGGGTGAAGGAGGCAGGTAAACAGTGATTCTCTCTCATCACTGATGTTTCAATCTCTCTCTCCCACTACCTTTCTCTGAAATCAATAAAAATATATTTTTAAAAAAGATCATTGACATCCTTACCAAGTCCACAATGAGACTGCCTCATACTACTAAGTGCTAATGGATGTCTCAAGGTATGATAGACAGTACAAAGAATGCAGGGCTCAGAATCTGAACTATACACAATATACTTATTTTTTTAAAAAAAAATATTTTTCTTGCTTTCAGAGAGGAAGGGAGAGGGAGAGAGAGATAGAAACATCAATGATGAGAGAGAACCATTGATTGGCTGCCTCCTGCATGCTCCCTACTGGGGATCAATCCTGCAACCTGGGCATATGCCCTTGACCAGAATAGAAACCTGGGACCTTTCAGTCCGAAGGCTGACGCTCAATCCACTGAGCCAAACCGACCCCGACCAGGGGCACACAATATATTTAAAACCAAAAACAACCAAAACCGGTTTGGTTCGGTGGATAGAGCGTCGGCCTGCGGATTGAAAGGTCCCAGGTTTGATTCCGGTCAAGGGCATATACCTTGGTTGCTTGGTTGCGGGCACATCCCCAGTGGGAGGTGTGCAGGAGGCGGCTGGTCGATGTTTCTCTCTCATCAATGTTTCTGGCTCTCTATCCCTCTCCCTTCCTCTCTGTAAAAAAATCAATAAAAATATATTAAAAACAAAAACAAAAACAATTAGGGTTGTTTCTTTTTAATGTAATTATTTCTAGGTTTAAAGCTTTAAAAAGGTGGAGACAACCTTATAGTAAGAAAAATGTTATAACAGGTGAGTGTGAGATGTCACCAAGCTTGATTTCAGAAGTTAATGACCATTTACATGAATTAAATATCAGAGGTAGAAAAAGCAAATCCATGGATCACAAAAAAAGATTGATGCTTCTAATATTCCTTGATAAAGCATCATGTGGGGGCAGACTCAGTCATTTCTTATCCCAGGTCACCTCTTTCTGACCATCACAGAAAATGACAAGGGACCCATCAGGAACATACCAGTCTCTCGCTCTTTGTGAATACAGGCTGCAAATGGAAAGAAATAATTATACAATTTGCAAGCCTTCTGAACTGGAGATTTGTAATTCTCATTCAAATCTGTTTAAACAACTTAGTTGTTAAAACATATAGAGCCACAAGCCAATATATCAGAATTAACCATCCACGACCCCATTAGCTCACCCCTCACCCAGATCAGGGTTCCCCTCCTCCCACTACATGTATTTCTGTCTGTGGATCTGTCTCTGTCTCCTGCTCCCTTTCCCTCCACTATGGTCCTTTCCTGTGTCCCCCTCTCCCCTGCTTCCCCCCCCCTTTTCTCTCTGTCTGTCCTACACCTGGACCATGAAACTCCTGAAACCTCCTTCCCTTCAGGGGCTCTTTCTCCTGGTCTCTGAGGCTCCATCTCCACACACGTCTGCGTCTTCCCCTCCCCACGCCCGCGGCCCCTCTGCTGCCTGTTCCCCTCTGTCCCGCTCCCACAGCTGCTGACTCAGGGCTGCTCTCCCTCTGCTCCCTCATCCCTGAGCCCCCCTTTCTGTCCCTGCACTCGCTCCCCAACTCTTCTCCTCTGAACCCGTGTCTCTGTCTCCTGTGCGGCCCCCACTTCTGCTCCCCAGGACCCGCTCCCTCTCAGCCCCCCTTCCTCTCTCTGGGCTCCCCCTCCTCCCTGTGTCTCCACTTCCTTCCTCCTCAGGCCACTTTCCCGAGTGACCCCCTCACTCCTACCGTGGCCGTCCAGCCCTCCCCACAACCCCTATGGGCCCCTCTCTGTGGACCCCTCACTGCCCTTCCTCCCGCCCACGTGTCTGTCTCTCACTCCCTCTCCTGACCCCCCAGCCTGGGCCCCCGCCCCCCGCAGTCACCGCGCCCACAAAGCCCCTCCCTGCGGGCAGGTCACCTCTTCAGGGGACACCGCGTCCTCCCCCTGAGCCCCCCATGGACACTGTGCTCCCCGGGCAGGCAGAACCCTTATTAAATGGGGGTGGGCCTAGGAGGGGGGTGCAGACCCCCAGGCCGGGAGCCATCCGGGCTCTTTGGGCGGAAAGCGCCGGGCGGGGGGAGGGGCGCAAAGGGCGGGAACCCCCTGACCCAGACTCTCAGCCCCGCGGGGAGGACCGGCGGCCCCGGGAACGGTTTTCAGCAGGAAAACCGCGCGGCAGGCGGTGGCCACAGCCACAGGCGGGGAGACCCCGGGCCGGGGCCTCCGTTTCCTCCCAAAGGAACGTGGCGCCCGCACCGCGCAGCCTCCCGGGACGCGGACTCACCGCTGAGAGAGGCTCCGGGGCGGGGACCCCAACAAGGACTTCAGCGCCGGCAGCGCCCTCAGCCTTCCCTGCGGGGAGGGGGACGGGGAGCGTCAGCTTTAAAGACAAACACCCTCCTCAGGGGGAACCGCCACCTTCCCCTCCACAGCCGCTTCCGCGTCTGCAAGGAACTGCGCATGCGCCTCCCTGCGGGGTGGGCGGGGCCAGAGCCTGAGCTGAGCGACTCCGCGATGGGGGCGGGGCCGAGCCCGCCG